AATATTCATAGGAAGCCGCCTTGTACCAAATGGTCCACCGAGTTCTGTATTGTCAACTCTGATTGACAGGGTTTCTCTCCCAGGAATTCCACAAGAAAGCAGATGCTTTAGCACTGAGCTATGGCCCAGCTTCACTGGATGAGCCCACGTTCCAGTGTTATGAGAGAATGAGAGAAAATCTCCCATTCCACATTCTCCACCCTGCACATAATTGTATACACCTCTATCATGTCCCCCGCCTCTTATTTGTATCCCCCACTCCAAACAAAAAAACCCTTCAAGTTGGCCACCTCTACGTTTGGCATATATTCAGTGTGTGGGCCATAAAGACAACTGGCGAGCTCTGGTGCTCTCTGGCTTGCAAGAGTGTCATCCTTACACCAAGCCACCTGAGAACGCCTTGGATAGGACTGAGCGTAAGACTTGTTATATGAAGAGTTGGCAGAGAACTCGGAAAGGCAGCCCGTGACAATCCCCTGAGCTATCCAGTCTCCTGTTTGATTGATTTTAATTGCTCTTAAAATGTAGGGAGCTATAAAATTTAATGTCTGTTTAGACAAGGTCAGCTGTAAGGGAGGAAAGGGGGAGGAATCACACCCAGCATTCTCTTCCCTGACATTGCCTAAGTGACATGCCTAATCATGAGTGTGAAGAAGGATGGCTGGGCCTTCATTGAAAGAAAAGCTCCGTCAAGGTTTTAACTCGGGGATCTCAAACTGAGAGGTGGAGAGGAGGGACGACTTGACACTGTCAGGCCCTGCAGGCTGAGGACCATTCCTGGATCCAAACTAGGAGTAGCCACACAGACTTCACCAAGACAAAGAGGGGGTAAAATGCATGATAAAAAAGAGGAAGCAGCTTAAAGTAAATTTTTCCGCTGCTCAGTTAGATGTTTATGTATGCCAATTTAGAAAGAGCTTAAATAGTAGTGAATCTGTGGAAGGGAGGTTCCCATAGGCATCTGGTTGGGCTCTGCTAGGAGGAGATGGGCCTTTGGTGTGGTCCACAAGGACACTTATTATGTTCTCATATTCCTTGATGAATGAAAAACCAACAATTAGATTAGCAAATACAGTGGTACCTAAGGTTAAGTACTTAATTCGTCCCGGAGGTCGGTACTTAACCTGAAACTGTTCTTAACCTGAAGCACCACTTTAGCTAATGGCGCCTCCTGCTGCCGCCGCACCGCCGGAGCCCAATTTCTATTCTCATCCTGAAGCAAAGTTCTTAACCTGAAGCACTGTTTCTGGGTTAGCGGAGTCTGTAACCTGAAGCATATGTAACCTGAAGCGTATGTAACCTGAGGTACCACTGTACCTCTCATGACACAGGAGAGAGAGGTCAGACTCACAATGGACTAAAAGAGAAGAATCTATTTGCACAATACATAGTTCAAATACAGAATTCGCTTCCATGGGATGTCGTGGTGGCTACCAATTCAGATGGCTTTGAAAGAGGATTAGGTAAACTCATGGAAAATACAGTTACCGCTGGCTATTGGCCACAATGTCTGTTTTGCCTCCAGTGTCAGATGCTGAGAATTGCATGTGGGGAGAGACCACTGTTGCTCTCCAGCTTCTGGTTGGCCACTGTGAGAACAGGATGCTGGCCATTGGCCTGATCCTGCTGAGCTCGTCTTACGTTCCTATTTGTTATTTAAAAGAAAAGAAAATTGGCAACTTCTAGCGCAAAGCATATTATGGTAATAATATCCTTTGCTGTGTCTTGCTGTTCACAATCCTTTATTTAAAAAAAAAAAATAGAACCCAGAAAAAATGTACCTTACTGGAATCTGCAAGGCACTTTTGACCCCAGTAGCATCAGAAACCACAGCTGCTAACGAACATATAAACAAGCATTTCCAGGTACATCAGATAAGTAATTAAACCCATTAACCTCAGAGGATGCAAAGCAGAGAAACCTTTTTCCTTGGGGGGTTCTCTTCGGCTTCCTCCCCACTCAGCGTCTGCTATTGTTTGTACAGCTGTCGGGCAGCTTCTCTGCAGGGATTTCATAAAAGGTAATATTAATATTAACTTTGTGTCTTTGTTGCTTTATGTTATTTCTTCTGAACAAGTAGTAAATTTGCCATTGCCAAATTGAGGTTTTTTTTCTTCTTCTTCCCTAGCTGTAAAATTTATCTCAACTCATTTGTCATGAAAATTTGCCCCTTAGGAGTGGTTTGAACAGAATCCCAGGTGTTTAATGTTGTTCACCTAATGAAGGCACAACTCATGAAAACAACTATTGAACTCTGGCACCCTTCATGAATATTGAGAAGGCAGGCGGATTTAAAATGCATGTTGTAGTAACTGGCTCTATAAACTGCCTCTCTCTGCGTTGCTACGCTCTATGAATACATTTTTTCCCAATGAATATTTTGTTTCGGTTCCATTCATATCTCAGTCCACTTTTCAGAAATAGTTACTATCGAAAGACCAATATGGCAGTCATTTAAGATACAGCCGGTCTCCTAAACTGTGAGGCAAGAACAATTATTTGTTTACAGTAGGCCCACAACTTACATGGAGGTCACATTCCGGGGATTCGTTCACAAATGCAAAATCACGCAGCCAGGGAGACCCCTGGAACTGCCCCTGTGTGACTATTCCTATCTTACTGGTCTCTGGGAAGGTTTTTTGGGAGGCATTTGAAAAGATTTGGAAAAATCTTGCAGAAGCCTCCCACAACAGCCCGCACACATAGCTGCGAGCGCTTTGCCTTGAGTGGAAGTGAAGCAGTGTGATCATCCTAAAATGTTCACGGGCACAAAAAGCATTGAAAGCAGGGTCAGGTGTGACTGCCCCAAAGAGAATCAAGTGCAGAATTCAACATGAATGTGCAATGAAAATGATTTCTGAAGGGACCCAGAGACTGACAAACACCAGAAAGAAAAGCCAGTGTGAAGTAGGAAACTGTTTTTAAAAATGTGCAAGAAAGAATACACACCACTTAACTACCTCTGAATTGTTTTAAGTTTAGAAGAAAAAAACAGTTTCTACTCTGCCCCCCACCCCATTTCCCAGTGCAGAATAAGGGATTATGGAAGAAAGTAAATCCCTTTTATTTCTATTCCCCCACAAAGCCCCTGGACCTATTTGTCTGCAATTTGGCTGGCTTAATCTGCTGAATGGGGGCACCTGTAGAGTTCATCCACTCTACAGGTGCCCTCTAACTCTAAAAGTTACAGCCATTTTTAGATTACTCCGGAGAAAGAATTTGGAAACACAGAGCTATGTCTTATATAGAGCAGTTTAGGAGTTGAATTACAGATAAAAGTAGATGGTGTACATTTTTTAATGGACGTATACAGATCTGAGGTTACTTCTGGGGCCTGTACCCACCTCTAGTAATTATGACTCTGGTTCGGTGCAAGCAAGAGGGAAAGAACCTTTGGAGAACCAGGAATTGTGGAGATCAAGGACTGACATTATACCAAGTCTTTCGAAGTGGTGTCTCCAAGTGGTCTGGAGAATTAGGGTTAGGTGATGACCTGCATCTGAGGTTCCCAGTTCATACGGTCATAAGCCAGACTTTTAACATCATTTTTATGCAGTTTTTGTGTCTGAATTAATATAATAAATGTCAATGTTGAATTGAATAAGGTCACATTTTACTACTTTGACCAGAAGTGTAATCTTCAATATTCAGTTTTATTACTGTTATAGCAGTCAAGGCTGGATAAGGTCACCAGTATTTCTTTCAGAGTGATGTAATATATGAAGACATACTTTGTGCCAACTTCATTTTCTGCATGCAATCTGGGATTTATATTGTGAAATGTCTGAAGCGGAGAGATACCCCTTACCACCGCCTTGTAAATCCACAGAGTAGGTTGGCATTATTTTGCTAAAAACCTGAAAATGTGTGTACTTTCACTTTATCACCTTGTTAAGGTTTTGCATTTTTACTCAAGATGTAACTTTCTTGCAGTGAAGTTAATTAAACACTTCAGCTGCATGCCAGGGATAATGACAGGCACATTTTCACCTGGAGTGTTTGAGTTTGCATCTCTTTATAAAAAGAAAGGCTTGGCTCAGTCCTGGCTGAATCGTCATAATGGTCCACTGTCATTTTACATAGAGATGAGGAACCTGTAGCCCTCCAAATATTGCTGGAATCCAGCTCTCATCAGCCCAGGAGGCACAGCCAGCAGCCAGGAATGATGGGAGTCCTGATTTAGGTGATAAAATTTGTGGGCTCCAACACAAAAGCCAAGAAACTTGAGTAAGATACACAGAACAATAATTATACATACTTTACCAACCTTCTGAGAAAAATACAAAACATTAAACAAAGCCACAGAGACTTGCAAACTACCCAGCCTAAAATGAACTTATAATGTCTGGTTTCAATAGATTTTTCAAATGCTTAACTCAGTCTTTTAGATAAGTTCATGAAGATACCAACAAAAGGTAAGTTTGATGATATTCACAATACCAAGAGATGCTAGTAGAGTTGTAGATAGAGACAGGGTGCCGGCGTTTTGCACCTGTTTTGCCCTGGCAGTCCAAGTAATCAAAAGGTCGCTGTTTGCCCCCGATGGGGCCCTTTAACTGGGTTTTGCAGGTAGCACACTCCCAAGATAGTTTTCCGGGCTTCTTCAGTGGTCTAATCTCAAAGTCTTGATACGTATATTGATATTCAATCTTATAGAGAATACTCTTTCTTGGCTTAAGTTTAAGAGACTGATTTGCTATAAGTTCATTTGAAGCTGGGTAGTTCGCAAGTCTTTGTGGCTTTGTTTAATGTTTTGTATTTTTCTCAGAAGGTTGATAAACTATGTATAATTCTTGTTCTGCGTATATTAATCGCCAACCTGTTGCATGAGTCACACTACTTATATCAGCAGCACAGGTTGCATTTTTCTAGCAAGAAACTTGAGTGAAGCGAGTTGACCAAGGAAGTCAGAATAAAGAAAATTGACAGGGTTCCATTCAATGATACATGACTGCAAACTAGAGCACATTATGAAACATAACATTTAAGGCAAATGTTCTGGCAAAATGCCTAAGAAATTCCAAGTGAAGCCAAAAGAGCTTGGATAAGACAGGTGGGTTTCAAACTTCCTTCATGCCATTCCAGTTCAAAAATATCCCTAGATTATTCTTGTTTCCTTCTTGTTCAGAAATAATTTCAGCTTTGTTATTTGGAAAGCGAACTTGGCTTATCACATATGGGTCTCTTCGGCAAACCCTCATTAACTTTGTTGCTGCATGTGGAGAAGCGAAAAAATATGAGAAGGGTCAAAAGGCCTGGTAGAATTATGCAATTGTCTTAAATTATGTAAGCCATGCGTATTAAAAAAATAATATGTCATTGATATCAGGGAGCCTATTAGAACTTTGTACGGGTAGAAAATAGGACAAATCCATGAGCTGATATTTTTTTTACTACCCATTGGCTAAAATAACAACCTACTTTTCACCTCTTGTTTCCTTATTCTTGCTTGCCTCCACTTTCCCATCACTCTGATTTATATTTGTTGAGGAAACTTCCTATTCAGAGAACATGAATGATGATAAGCGGGAGGGGGGAAATCTTATTGTTATTAGTAGCTCTGTCTCTGAGAGAAACTTCCAAGCAATTGCTCCTGCTGCTGACTAGAAAATTCTTTGCATAACGATAAGGGCTTTCGGTTTCATATTGTGGTAGTGATTCTCAGCAAAGGCTGGGCAGTGAGGTGGGAAATGGTTACATAAGTAGATGGATGTTGTGGAGGCTTTGGGGCGAATGGGGCAGTGTCCCACCAACCAGTCCCCACCTGCTTTCTTTCTTTCTTAGAACCAGACCTGTCTGCTTCCTCTTCCTTTGCCTTATTGTTTCCCCTGTAAAGGTAAAGGACGCCTGGATGGTTAAGTCCAGTCAAAGGCAACTATGGGGTTGCAGCGCTCATTTCGCTTTCAGGCCGAGGGAGCAGACGTTTGTCCACAGACAGCTTTCTGGATCATGTGGCCAGCATGACTAAACCGCTTCTGGTGCACAGAGAACCGTGACAAGTGCCAGAGCACATGGGAACACCTTTTACCTTCCTGCTGCAGCGGTACCTATTTATCTACTTGCACTGGTGTGCTTTCAAACTGCTAGGTTGGCAGGAGCTCACCCCGTTGTAGGGATTTGAACCGCCAACCTTCTGATTGGCAAGCCCAAGAGGCTCAGTGCTTTAGATCACAGCACCACCCACATCCCTGGTTCCCCTGTATAACCCACTGGGAAGAAGGGTAGGGGCAAAACTAGAATTAGTTGAGTTTGCATGATATTGCCAGTCATTGTTTCTGGCTGCTCACAGTGCCTTCTGCCCTACTGGTCCCACTGCCCTATTCCTCCAACCCCTGATGCTGAGGACTGTTTTGCAGTAGTATAGGAAACAGGGCCAGCCCACATATGAGGCAGGGTGAGGTGACCGACCGCCTCAGGAGGCCAGGTCCACAGGGGCAGCAGATCCTGATGTCAATCTTTCTTGCTCTTTTGTTGCTCTGCTCATGTCGATCTCCCCACCCCCACCCCTTCTTCTCTAGCGGGAAGGGAAGCACCATTTTTAGGTCCACCTCAGATGCCAAAATATCTTGGGCCAGCCCTGATAAGAAGTACAAGTGATCCTTCATGTTGGAAGGAAATGTGCAAGGAAAGGATCTGGGCAAAGCTTTTCAGCTACCCAAGCTTACTAGCTGGTTGTCAAATGCCATGGAAACCCTTCAGACAGTAACAGGTGTGGAGTACCAGTGGATCTCTGATCTACTCTTGTTCTCACCAGATAATGGTGCAAGAAAATCACTCCAGATCATACTATTGATCTCAGTGAGCTCTGGATCCAGACTTCATTGACATGTGTAAAGCAAGTTGATAATATAATGAAACTTGATATATGCAATACATCAAGTACTTTCCATTTTCTCTTTGTTGAGCATCTGAGTAGCACCTGCTCCCCGGCAGAAAATGTGTCTTTTGGGAGTCCTATAGCAGCCTATGCTGTAGGCTGATGAGGTGCCAAAGGTTTACTGCCTACAAGGTGTCAGCGTCTGTTTTTCATGAGTGTAGGCTGCAGCTTCTGTGTTTCTTTGGTTTGCTTTGGCACTAAAGGAGACAATGACAGGCCCAAAGCTGGCATTTCATTTTAATGGAGCCGTGACAAACTTTAAATGCGTTCCAAAACTGTATTCCTTCAGGTTTGGCGGCAAATACTGGGCTTTATTTGCATACAAATCACTTTTTTCTTCCTTGGGAAAGGCTGGTTTTGACATGTTCAAAGTGTAGCTTATCTCTGAAGTTTTATTACTCCTTCCTTTGTTTCCAGAGACTACCTGATTAGCTTCTTCTATTACAGGAGTTGCCAGAGTGACATTAAATTGTCTTTTGCCTCTGCTGCTTTGGGGAACAGTTTGAAAACACTACAAAACACTCAGTTTGCTTTTGAAAATCCCAGAGCTTTTTAGCCAGTGATTTTTGTCTATCTTGTGAACATAGGTAGAGGTACAAAAGAACTTCTGAAGTCCCAAGTTCCTTGGCGTTGTTTTCTTGGGTAGTTTAACCTAGATTGCAATATGGAGGGTGGGAAGAGGAGGCAGGAGGGTAGCTTTCGTTTTTGAGACCAAGCCCTTTCCTCTGTTTTATGATATGCTGCTGTAAATCAGACTCATTCTTTTAAAACATCTCTTTTTAAAAAACAAAAAAATCCTGTATCCATAGGTTATGACATTAGAATCCTTCTGGAATGGGGCTGTGCCATTGTTGGCCTCAAGCCAGGAAGCATGCTAGCATCAAGGAAATAAGCAGGGTTGGGAGGTCTGAAAATACTTCCACGGTGCCCTGCAAACCCAGTGCTGGTTTTGCAAGTCTTGCAAGGGGCCATAATTGCATCCCTCAAAGCAGGGGGGTGTCGGCTGACCGACCTCCCAACTGCGTGGCCTGGCAGGCAGCACAGCGCAGCCCCGCTTAGCTCCAGTGGGCAGGGGTCAGTGCAGCAGCGTGCCCCACCCCCATGGCGTGCCCCACCCCCATGACACACTCACTTGCGCCCCAGGGAAGGTGGTTCCTCTGGGCAATATAAGCATGCTGACTCTGGCTTAGCTCCTCCTTGTAATCATTAGCACTCTTCGAGAAGGCTGGTTAGTCACGACTTTCAAAGTTTCTCAAAAATGTGAACGAAACAGAGATTGAAAAAGTTTGTGTTTATGAGGAAGAGGAGTTTGGATTTGATATCCCGCTTTATCACTACCCGAAGGAGTCTCAAAGCGGCTAACAATCTCCTTTCCCTTCCTCCCCCACAACAAACACTCTGTGAGGTGAGTGAGGCTGAGAGACTTCAGAGAAGTGTGACTGGCCCAAGGTCACCCAGCAGCTGCATGTGGAGGAGCGGGGAAGCAAACCCAGTTCACCAGATTATGAGTCCACTGCTCTTAACCACTACACCACACTGAGGGAGGGGAGCGACTGTGTTCCTCCAGAACATGTTGAACTCCATCTGCCATCAGCCACCATCAGCATGACCAATGACCAGGGATGGTGGGAATCCAACATTTGCATTCTTACCTCTGATGCAGATGCCCCGTTCTGGACATTTCTCCATTCAACCTGCTGCTCTGTGGTAGAGGGAGACGACGACTGTAGTACCATTTTCTGATGTGTCCTAAAACGGGTTTGCTAGAGCTTTGCAAAGCCTCTGCAAAATGAATGTTAAGATATGTCTTTCTCACCTAAGGCAAAGATCAGTAGCACTCCAAGTTCTTTGTGAAATTTAAAGACCAGCAAGTTCAAAGGGAGCTTGCCCAAGGAATGTATTTAATTTCAGGAGCACTCGGGTGCTGGTCACTCACAAAGGATTGGTTTTATAATAACAAGCTTAGCCATTTATTGGCATGTGGCCAGGTCACTCTGGTGACCTGAATCCAGCAGCTTAATCCAGTGGAGACGGAACAAATGACAGCGGCAATGCATTTCATTTGGAGGGGATAAGAAACTGCTCTGCTCTGACAGCCACCATGAGGTCAGATTTCTGATGACCTCACAGAGGAGCAAGCACATCCACTGTTCTCTGCAAGCAGCCTTTGATGGTCACCGGAGAGATGCTGTGTGGCCATAATTTAGAGAGAGAAGGTAGACAGCTGTTACAATTTGTTTCTTAAAAGAAACTCGCTAGACCAAAACCATCTCTGCTGTAGAGGTGAATGGTCTGCACAGGCTAAAGAGGAACCATCGGACATGCCAGTTCGCAATGACCCGGTGCTGTTTCACACATTTTATTTTTCAGAATGCTCTTCAGTATATTTTACAATACTGAAGAAGCCTTCCTGCATTGTGACGAATGCACTGTCTAAAATAACTGCCTTAAGAATGGATTTTCCATGGGTAGCGGGCACCAGCATCAAGACTTTCCTCTGGCACATCTGAACCGAGAGCACCAGGGTCATGAGCCAGGTTGTGTCACAACTTTCAGCACCAGTAACAAACTACAGCTCCCAGAAGTCTTTGGGGAAAGCCATAGCTTTTTAAAGTGGTTTCATAGTGCTTTAAATGTATAGTGGGAATGTGGCCAGGGTCTAAAGTCAGTGTGCTGTTGGTGGAAAGGAATGCAGAAATGTTAGGAACACATAGTAATACAGTGCTACCTTGGGTTACATACGCTTCAGGTTACATACGCTTCAGGTTACAGACTCTGCTAACCCAGAAATAGTACCTTGGGTTAAGAACTTTGCTTCAGGATGGGAACAGAAATTGTGTTCCGGTGGCGCAGCGGCAGCAGGAGGCCCCATTAGCTAAAGTGGTGCTTCAGGTTAAGAACGGTTTCAGGTTAAGAACGGACCTCCACAATGAATTAAGTTCTTAACCTGAAACTATCTCAGTCTTTGACTTGGGGGAAAATACATGTCAGCAAAGCCCTCACATTTTATGATTCAGATGTCATAAAAACTGATGGAGTGTGTGTTCAGCGGGCTTCTGTAGCGTAGGATAGGGCCACTTCATAGGATGAAGTGAAAAACTGCTTTGTGTTTATCACGACAGAAGTTCCCTCTAGACACCACATCAGCCTGGCACAACTATATTTAATCAATCTGTTTTAACAAGCCGGTGCCTCACTCAGCTAAATGTTGCTAAATGTGGAAGTAAACAAATGGCAATGATGTTTTCAAAAGCGCCACATCGCCAGAACTGCAAGTGTTGATTGCTCTGCTCACTTGGTTTCCCCCCGTCAAGCAATATGTTTCCGTTATGAGGACCAGTTTTCAGGCGCCATTTTTGGAGTAGGATCTCTCTGTAGCCATTATGGCCGAAATGAAATAAAGTAAAGCTATTTCCCCCCCCCCAAACACGCAAACACACCGCCAATTGCTGTTGGCACTTCAGTTTTAGGCTTCCATCTGAGTCAGCAGAATTGCATTAGCCAAGAATTGGATCCACTGGCTTTTTGTTGTTTTTTTAAGGACTTTTACATAGCAGAGTTTGGTCCCACATCAGTGAGCGGATTGTCAGTGGGAAACTCTGAAAACATGTGATAAAACAGAATTTTCAAGGAAGGGGAAAATCTACAGCATGTCAAATGATAATAATGCCTCCCCATTTTCCCTCTTCAAGTGCAAACATTCTCCCTCTGTTTTCCTTCTCTTGTTTAGTATTCTTGCTTCAGCGGATTCACTGGGCCAAATATTCTCCACTTCTTTGCCTCTCCTTATCCCCCTCTTAGTTGCTATGCACCTGCCAGCAACCCTTCTCTCTCTCTCTCTCTCTCTCTCTCTCTGTGTTTTATAAATGATTTTTATTGCTTTTACATGTAATCACATTATGTAACATCATACCCTCTTATTTTATCCCTTTGGCTTAACTGAGCCTAACTGCTTCCCTCCCATCTGATGGTTTAGAAAGTTAAAGTTTACATCTTTACATTTCGCTTCGTTTCCTATCCTTGTTATATCATTACCTAAAGTATTATATTACTCAACCTGAATAGGTAGCAATTTCATCCTTGCTGTTGTTGTTTAGTCGTTTAGTCGTGTCCAACTCTTCGTGACCCCATTGACCAGAGGACGCCAGGCACTTCTGTCTTCCACTGCCTCCTGCAGTTTGGTCAAACTCATGCTGGTAGCTTCGAGAACACTGTCCAACCATCTCGTCCTCTGTCATCCCCTTCTCCTTGTGCCCTCCATCTTTCCCAACATCAGGGTCTTTTCCAGTGAGTCTTCTCTTCTCATGAGGTGGCCAAAGTATTGGAGCCTCAGCGTCATGATCTGTCCTTCCAGTGAGCACTCAGGGCTGATTTCCTTAAGAATGGATAGGTTTGATCTTCTTGCAGTCCATGGAACTCTCAAGAGTCTCTCCAGCACCATAATTCAAAAGCATCAATTCTTCGGCAATCAGCATTCTTTATGGAATTTCATCCTACAAATCTTCAAATAACCCTGCTAATGATGTTAATTGCGTACAGTTGTCTTTCAGATATAACACAAATTTGTTCCAGTCCTTTTGGAATGCTTGGTCTCACTGGTTCCTGTCTCTGTGTGTTTTTATAGCTGCCACCACAACACACAAAACATCCAGTTACTGACTTGGTTGTCTTTAATAGAGAGCACTATAGAGTTACGCACTTGGTTTAAACTCGCTGACCCACTGACTCCTTTTCCTCGATCTCCTCCTGGGATTCCTGACTCCTCTGTCACCTTCTAGGTAATTGCCTACCACTCTCGGTCTTCACTGCCACCTTCCTTATCCCATTGATTCCTAACCTTACTCACTTCCACTGGTCAATGGACTATGGATTGAGAATTGTCCCTTCATTCCATTCCCGTCTCCTTCAGGGCAACATGGCCTGTCTGCCTGTTCTGATGGAACACAGCGACTTGCACCAGCAGGTCTAGGGGATTGGGCTGTCCAAATGATTTCTGTGCAGCTTCTGTTGGGGTTATGGGACTGGTTGTATTAAATAATAGGTTGTGCAAAAGCTGTAAAATAAACTCTGGTGTAGGTTTAAAGCATCAACTTTATCAGCGCAGCACACCTAGATCTCTGTCAGAGATTTATATTGATTTCCTCCCCACCCCCTGCTGGAATGGGTAATTCTCACTCTCACTGCCTAAATCCTGCTTTTTGTATTCATGTAAACATGCACAAAGCTGCTACATCAAGATTGCTGATGTTAAGATAATTTGATTAATCTTAATGATTTTTCTTATGAATACCAAGAGGAGGCAAAGAAGATTACGAGACAAGACAAAGGAAGTACTTGGTGTGTGGCTGAATAATCTAAACTATCAGATTTTCTTCTCTTTCTTTCTTTTTAAGAAAACAAGAACTTGTTTCCACTATGAGGTTACCAATTTGGCCTTTGTAAATGTTTACGTGTTGTGTTTTGTTTTTGAAAAAAATAGTTTCGCAGTTGTTGTTGTTTTGCTTCTCTCTGAATAAAACACATTTTCCTTAGGGATTCCCAAAGATAATTTTTTTGTTTTGCTTTTGTCCCTTCATAAATTGATTTCTTTAAAAAGAAAAGGTGTAATTTTCCTTCACACTGCCAAATGTTTCTGAAGCAACAGAAAACCTATTGCTTGTTTAAATCTATAAACTGATAGGCAACTCAGGACACAATCCAGAACCTCAAGGATACCTCTTCCCATATGAGCCAACCAGGAGACTGTCACTGTTATCTAAGGTCTTACCCTATGTGCCCACTTCATGGGATGTCTAGAGGCTGGCAACGTAAGAATGGGCCTTTTCAGTATGACACCCCCCCCCATTGTGGAAGGGTCTCCTCAGCCATAGAATCAGAGTGTTGAAAGAGTCCATGAGGGGCATCTAGTCAAATCTCTCTGCAATGCAGGAATCTTTTGTTCAACATGGGGCTCAAAACCACAACTTAATTGATTAAGTGTCACTAAGGCTTGTGTGGCACCATCTTTATATATTTTGAGGTGCCAGGCAAAACCATTTCTCTTTACCTGGGCTTTTGGCCCTTAGTTTGAAGCATGGCATCGTCACCTCTTTTAGTGGGGTGGCATCTGTAGGTCCTGCCTTTTATCTGTATAGCTGTTTTTAGATTTTTATTGGATGCTCTTAATTGGTTTGATGTAAGTCACTTTGGGTCACTCTGTGAGAGAAGCAACCGATATAAAAAATAACAGATTATATACTACTAGTAGTACTACCAATAAAAAGGTAAAAAAGAGGTAAAGTTACGTCCAGTCAAAGGCGACTATGGGGTTGCGGCACTCATCTCGCTTTTCAGGCCGAGGAGGCCGGTGTTTGTCCACAGACAGCTTTCCGGGTCATATGGCCAACATGACCAAACCGCTTATCATCATTATCTTCATTTTATTTGTATGCCGCCTTTCCACAGTTAAAAACAATGCTCAAGGTGAATTACAACATGACAAGATTTACATAATTACAAAAGTCATAAACAATAAATAAACCATGCCAAAAAAATACGCTTAAGGCACAATGGAACACCGTGACAGAAACCAGAGAGCATGTAAACAGCGTTTACCTTCCCACCGCAGCGGTACCTATTTATCTACTTTCACTGGTGTGCTTTCGAACTGCTAGGTTGGCAGGAGCTGGGACGGAGCAATGGGAAGCTCACCCTGTCACAGGGATTCGAACCGCCAACCTTCCAATCAGCAAGCCCAAGGGGCTCAGTGGTTTAGACCACAGCGCCACCTGCATCCCAGTACATTGTAACCACTACCAATACACTGTAGTCACTGAGCATACTTCATCTTCACTGAACTGTTTTGGGGGTTTCACCTCCACCATTTATTAGGGAGGAGTTGTTGAAGAAAGGGAGAGAAATGAGTCATTGAAAGTGCCATCCTCATAGGGAAAAAAGGCAAGCTTTGTTAGCAGGTTGTACAGCCTCTCTGTGAGTGAAAGGAAGTATTAATCCTGCCATTCAAACACAATAAAAAGCTATGAGGCCTTAAGGATGAGGACAGCCTTAATCTCCAACAGAACAG